TGTTCTCAAGGGAAGATACAAAAGATTTCCTTGCTGGGAAGACTTGATGAACCAAAGCAACTCCCTGCTTTACTGACAACATTTCCTTTTGCCAGAGTCATAAGAGCTCAGTCATGTTACAGAAATATGTGTACAGCAGAACAGACAACACCTGTACACTGGGTTTGTTGTTGTTTGTTGCCACAGAGTTGGCTCCGACTCATAGTGACCTTATGTATAACTGAATGAAATGTTGCCCGATCCAGCACCATCTTCATGATCATGGTCGATCCATCTCACTGAGGGTTTCCCTCATTTCCGTTGGCCCTCTACCAAACATGATGTCCTTTTCTAGTGATTATTCTTCCTTGATGACGTGTCCAAAGTAAGCAAGTCAAAGTCTTAACATCCTCACTTCTAAGAAACATTCTTCTAAGACTGATTTGTTCATTCTAGCACTCCGTAGTATAGTGAGTATTCTCTGTCAATATCATAGCTTGGAAACATCAATTCTTCCTTCTTCCGTCTTCCTTTTTCATTATCCAACTTTCACAGGCATGTGAGGTAATTGAAAATGCCATGGCTTGGGTCAGAGGCACCTTAGTCATTAAAGAGACACCTTTGCTCTTTAAAATTGTAAAGAGATCTTTGGCAGTAAATTTGCCCAATTCAATATGTTGTTTGATTTCTTGACTGCTGCTTCTGTGGGAGTTGATTGTTGGTCCAAGTAGAATGAAACAACAACTACAAATTCTTCGAAGAAATTGAATAAATGCTAGAATAGCTTTGGTCGATTCCCTCAATGGGACTAGGACCTGTGACCCTTATATTAATGATTTTTGTTTCCTTTCTTTTGGGAAACTGAGAGGAGGGTAGCAAGTTGTAACTGTAGTTTATTGTTCCTAAGTCATACGAAGATCCATGGTGCTCTTTTCTAGACAGAAAAATGAAAAAAGAGCAAAGGTTAGAAAGAATATTTGCCAATTCTTGTATGAAATCTCTGATGCAAAAATTGCTCTTGCTTGGTGGTTATTGAAATGCCAGCATTGAGTGCCTCTCCAGTTAGATATTTGAATTAGTACTCAATAGCATCCCAAACCAAAAAACCAAACCTGTTGCCGTTGAGTCGATTCCAACGTATAGCCACCTTATCCCAGCTCACCATTTTATACCTACAACATGAGAGATCAGAAAAACCCTCCTGCTTTTATGCAGGTGCCTGGTTAAGCCTACAGAACCAGGCTGTGTTTTGAACAAACCTGTTTGCTGCCAAAATACAGAGGATCTTCAACTGCTCAGTTTACTGATAAAAGAAAAATCTCACCAGTAGATGGCTGAAAAATGATGTGGCTACATCAAGAAGTTGTTAGGCATTTCCTTGGACTGAGAATAAAGAGGACAGTTGAGTATCTTTTGACTGATTCTATTTCTTCCTTCCTGAACTTCAGCTTCGTTGCTTACTCCATCAAACCAAACTAAGCCTCTTAAAGAAAAAGAATGCCTCCCTGAATTAGGCAAGGTCCAAAAATGACTTCTTTATATTACTGGTTATCGTTTTAAGTAATTTATCTCGTTTTCTCAAATAGCTTGGGCATTTCTTGTATGTGTGTATCCTCCATGCCACTTACTACGGGGCTTTGTGCCATAGTACATAGCAATACAGGCAAAAGGCATGTTAAGCCACCAAGTTGCATGGCCAACTTCAATGCTTAAGCAAGTTTTGTAAGACCAAGAAGAGTTCCCAAAATGTGGGAAAAGTTGACTCTTATCTTTCAGTCCCATGGCCCAGCAGCTAACTAACGTGACTTCCTCAGAGGTGTATCTGTGAAAAATAGCACCTATGGCAAGTTCTAAAATGGCGTCCTGCAGGGCTATAGCAAGGTAAGGAGCACCGCCCAGACGCCCAGAGGCAATCTCTAAACTGCTCCCCGCCCCCAGTTTCAAGATGAATAGACGCTGATAGCAGCCACGTGTCAGCAGTTTGAAATGCCTTCCCCCCTCTTGTCTGGCTGCGTCAGTCAGGTGTCTTTCATATTTGTGCCTCAGAATGGCCTTCGTGCTTTGTGGCACCCAGGACATGTGCCATGCCTGTCATACCTTAGATATATCCCCGCCCCCAGCTCTGCGTCTGTGCATCTGATCCTGAGAATCTTACATTCAATTGCTCGTAGAAAGAACATTTTTAGTAATCTGAGGACAAATTAGAAATTATCTGCATCTGAAATTGTGTTATCTAGAACTACTTGAGAAAACTGTTGTTTCTAAATAGCGTGAAAAAAAAAAAGAATAAAAACTGTGAAGTTGGAAATGTCTGCGGTTAACCACATAATTTGTCTTCCAGGAAACCCTGGTGGCGTTGTGGTTAAGAGTTCAACTGCTAACCAAAAGTCGGAGGTTCGAATCCACCAGGCCCTCTTTGGAAACCCTATGGGGCAGTTCTACTCTGTTCTACAGGGTCGCTGGGTTGGAATACTTGACTGCAATGGGTGGTGGGTAGTAAATAAACTATTTCCTGAGAGAAATACTGTTACTGTGGACGCGGTGTGAAACTTTTGAAGTCATTGAGGTACGATTCTGTATTTAAAATATAGTGATTTACATAAGGCTACCCACAGTGGCCTGAGTGTTCCAGGGTTTTCCCAAAATGCTCATGGTATTCCTGATGAGCAAGAGAAACATTCAGAAGGTTTGGTTTGCCATATGCCTGTCCCAAAGGTAATTTATGAGGTATCATTTCCTACTCAATAGCTTAAATATCTTCACGTAATTTTACTTACGTGATATAACTGAGGAAGAAAGACAAACTCAAAATGCCTCCAGGACCCCAACCTTTTTCCATTTAATTTATGGTATACACCAGTGAATATATTTACACTGTCAATACTGAAGTTGTCAAGGATTTTTTTTTACTTGGATCCACAATCAATGCCAATGGAAGCAGTGGTCAAGACATCAAACGATGCATTGCATTAGGCAAATCCGTTGCAAAAAGAGTTCTTTAGTGTTAAAAAGCAAAGATGTCACTTTGAAGACTAAGGTGCATCTGGCCCAAGCCATGGTGTTTTCAGTCACCTTATATGCGTGCAAAAGCTGAACAATGAATGCAGAAGACCAAAGAATTGATGCCTTTGAATTATGGTGTTGGTGAAGAATATCGAATATACCATGGACTGCCAGAAGAACAAACAAATCCATCTTTGTACAGCCAGAATGCTCCTTAGAAGCAAGGATGGCAAGACTTCACCTCACGTACTTTGGACGTTATCAGGAAAGACCAGTCCCTGGAGGAGGACATCATGCTTGGTAGAGGGTCAAAGAGGAAGACCCTTAACAAGATGGATTGACACAGTGGCTGCAACAATGGACTCAAGCATAGCAAGGATTGTGAGGATGGCTGAGAACCAGGCAGTGTTTTGTTCTGTTGTACATGGGGTTGGTCGCTATGAGTCAAAATCAACTCGACAGCACCTAACAACAACAAATACACCAGTGGTCAACAAACTACGCCTACAGTATAAATCTGGCCCACCACTTGTTTTTGTAAAGTTTTGTTAGAATGCAGCCATGCCCATTCATTGACGTATGGTCTGCTTTCATGCTAAAACAGCAGAGTTGAATAGTTGCGTCAGAGACTCCATGGCCCACAAACATAAAAATATTTACTATCTGGCCCTTCGTGGAACGTTTGCCAACCACTGGTGTATGTTAGATGCATTAGTAGTGAATCTATCTGTCACAAAAGATATCATACTTCCTCTTTTTAGGAATCACATAAATTAGGAAAAAACTTTAGCCTTCAAATTCAATGTTTGTGTCTCAGATTTCCTTCCAGGAATTAATTCCCATGCAAGAAAACTAGACACACAATTTCAAAAAGTGTTCTTTTATTATTTCTAGTAACATATATTGTATAAATACTCTATTTTATATGCCCTTTTACAAAAGAGGTATAACTTAAAGATTTATCATTATAAAGAAAGTATAAAAATAAATATGTTCATATAGGCATTTATTACACACTATAGTCCTTCTTAGAAGGAACACACAAATCAATACTTATAAAGTACATATAATTTATAGTAACATATTTTACTATATACATATGGAAAAAGACATATTCTCTATTATAGCTGAAGAGCTGGACAGACATTCACCAGGATATGACTGTTGGAACAGCTGCTGGGGATGGACCTGCGACCCCTCAGTAGCCTCCACATCACGAGACAAGTGATCTCGATGTCCCAAAAACACATGCGGGACCCGCTCCACACACCCCATTCTTGTTCTGGCATTACATTCTTTTTGTGTGATCTGACTTTCTGGAGATACATGCTTTCTTCACATGCACATTCCTAAAGCATGCCTACGCAAGGAAGCAAGAAAGGTAGGAGGTACCGAGCGCACTGTGGCTCTAGTTTCTACCAGCACCTGATACATTGCTGCTTCCTTTCTGCCTCTGTATACTTAATGCATTCTTACAAACTACATGGCATTATTTCTTCATCAACATTAATTACACAAGTAAAGGTGAAGATGATACAAAAAGGTAAAGATAAGGCCATCAGAGCCATTTTCTGTTTGCTGAGCGTATCTCAGGCTGGACAATCTGAACTCTTAACTCTTGGTAGGAAATACTGCGTAAATATTCTCTAAAACCAGAGCAGCCATAAAGGAGGCTGGTCAAAGATGCTATTTGCATGTACTCCTTTCTTCCCCTGTGGTGAGGGAGGTCAAGTTAAGCCATGTTTTAAACTCTAAAGCTCATCTTTCTCCCGTTTTTCCTTTCCCAACTCCTACGATACGAAAGATTTAATTAGTACCAGGAAATGGGCTGCAATCTTCCTTAAACTGATTTTGGCAATCTTTTCTTTCTTTCCTTTTTTTTTTTTTTAAACTTGTAACAGATGTAAGAAACAATAATAGCGTTCTGCGGCTTTATCACCTTCTAATAACCCTCATTAACTATCCTATCAAATTTGTAAGTGGCAGGATATTCATATGATCTAACCTCTTTTCCATTTACTTCCAAGCTCCCATCTCATTGACACTCCTCATCGATGACCTGCAAGGTACGTTGGGTCCCTCCAGGCTTGATTTCAGTGCATCAGCCCTTCTGCACTTTGCTTCTCCCTCATCCCTGACCCTGCTTAACTGCATTCCGCCATCGTGCAAAAGTCTATGTAATGCTTAGGTTTCTTTAAAGGGTCACAGCTCTCATGGGCCAACACCCCCCCATCATGGGACAGACACTTCAAGGTTCTCTTTTTGTAACCCTTCCCACAAGTCTTAGAACATGGGGACCACTCCCCCAGCTGCCAGTGCGGACAGGGCATGTTTGCACAGGGCCTGGTGCTGGCTGGCTTCACTTCCTTGGCACACTCTGAAGCAGGCAGCCCATTAATGTCTCTGCATTCCACCAGTCTCCGCTGCCACCCCGATCCACATGACTTGGAACACTCGCCCCATTCTTCAATGACCCATTCTGAGAAGGTGGGAATAGCGTTGAAAGATTCCTTCTTCTTCTTCACAAAATAAGTATATTTAATTTTAGGTCGGAGGGCATTGCCCACAGTAAGGACCTGGATGGTTAAGGGCTCTTTGAGTGGGCTAAAGCTGAGAATTCTTTCCAATGCCGCAGAAGAGCCACTGTACCTCAAGACACTACCTTTGTACGTGATGTCTTGCTCTAAAGTGGACAAGGTGAAGTCACCATTAAGGATATATGTGCCATCGGCAGCTCTGATGGCAAGAAAGCTTCCATTATTTCTGGATCCTCTGTGATTTCGATGTTTCACTTCAATGTTCGTGGCTCCAGACGGAATTGTGACAATGTCATGATATCCAGGTCTGCAAGGAAAGAAAAAACATGCAATGGGCTCTTGTTCTCTACTTAATTACTTCACTTGAAGACACGTTAATAATTGATAATTATTATGTTTTTTACCAGACCTGTAAAAAAGTTACATCTAAATTATAAGGTAGTGCAGAACTCAAATTCTAGTAAAAAGGCCAGACTTAATGGTCTGACTGAGGCTGGAGGAACTCCAGAAAGCGTGGCCCCTGGCCTCTCTGTCAACCCAGCACTAAAACCATTCCCAAGGCCAACTCTTCAGTCAAAGATTAGACTGGACTATGGGACATAAAATGATACTCGTGAGGAGTGTGCTTCTTAGCTCAGGTAGATACCTGAGACTAAATGGGCAGCTCCTGTCCAGAGGTGAGATGAGAAAGCAGAAAGGGTCGGGAGTTGGCTGAATGGACACGGGAAATCAGAGGTGGAAAGGAGGAGTGTGCTGTCACAGTATAGGGAGAGCAGTCAGGGTCACATAACAATGTATGTATAAATTTTTGTATGAGAGATTAACTTGAGTTGTAAACTTTCACTTAAAGTACAACAATAAAAAAAAAACTAAAATCAATAAATTATAAGGTAATTTGAGACTAGGTTATTATTTTTTTTTTAAAGCAAAAAGAAAGTGTTATTCAGCATATATTCAAAGGGGCAAAAGCAGGAAACAGACAAGCATGCTGCCACAGCCATGTCCGCCTGAGTCCAGCGAGAGTAGGTCATTTTTAAACTTACTTTGCTCTAGTAACTGATCCAACTATTTTTTTACATGTAGATCCATTTCCTCCACAAATACCACATTTATCAAATTTCTTTTTGGAGTCTATGATACGATCACAGCCAGCTTTTACACACTGTCCTTGCACACAGACAGAGGTGGAATCTGGGCTACACGGAGTACCATCTACAACCTGGAAAAGAGAACCAGCATCTGGTGTTACACACCAACAAGGGAAAGAGACGATGTGATGGTAACTAAGAAGGGTTTTCCTCGTTAACATTAGAGGTGGCAGTGGCAGTAAGGTGGAGCAGACACAAAGCTCTGCTTTCCTGACCATCCTAATGAAAACAATACTCCCTATACACACTGCATACTCTCCTTCTCAGTGTTTCCTATGAATATAGGACTTATCCTCCACCACCACCAGTTGTCACTGGGTTGCTTCTGACTCATGACAACACTGTGTGTGTCAGAGCAGAACTGGGCTCAATTAGGGTTTCCAATGGCTGGTTTTGGGGAAGTAGATCGCCAGGACTTTCTTCTGAGGCACCTCTGGGTAGACTTGAACTTTCAACCTTTCAGTTAACAGCCAAACGTGTTAACCATCTGTACTACCCAAGGACTCCATAGTACTTAGACATCTGTAAAGACTAATCTATTGTTTTACTGTTTATTTATTGCCCTTATCTCCCCTTTAGCTAAGGTCCGTGAAGGCAGAGCTTTTTGTCAATTTGTTCACTGCCATATTCTCGTGCCTAGAATGATACCATGCCATAGTAGGTACTTAAGACATCACTAGTTGAATGTTGAATCTGCAACTTGGGAATATTTTCACAGACCATAGTGCTAATGACACGGGATAATCTCAATCAAATAAAATTACATTTTCTATCTCAGAGCCAGATTTAACCCCTCACCCTAATAAAACAGCAAACGATATGCTGCTTCTACTATTTTATATGTGTCCTCAAATGTAGTAAGTATCAAGGCTCAGATTTCGATGTTAGTAAGTCCATTTGCACATGTCACTGCTAGTCACCTAGTCGCAAGTACTCTGGACTATGCCTGTTTTCCGGAAGCGTTGACTGCTGTGTTAATATATAACGTATCTAACCATGAGTCGTACGTGAAACCTAGTTATACAGAGAAACGCTTAATTTTTCAAAGGGCTTTTCTTTGTATGCTGTTGTTAGATGTTGTCAAGTTGATTCTGACTCATAGTGACTCCATGTGACAGAGTAGAACTACCCCATAGGGTTTTCTTGGCTGTAATCTTTACGGGGCAGATTGCCAGGTCTTTCTCCAGTGAAGCTGCTGGGTGTGTCTGAACCGCCAACCTTTTGGTTAGCAGCTGAGAGCTTAACCATTAAAGCCATCAGGGCTCCTTTTCTTGGTATATAAAAATAATAATAATAAGCAGTTGGAAGAATCACAAGGCCTGAATTGATTCAAGCTTCATTCATAACTGAAACCAACATCAAACCCAATGCAGTCAGTAGCCAATTTGAAATTGAACACAAGTTCATATATACATTAAAGAAAGCATATCAAAGGTTGAATGAAAAGGTAGCGAATCAAGACATCGGCTTGTAGGCAGACAATAAGTGTAAATGTAATTACCTTGGGCTGCAAAACAAAGAAATAGCCCATGCCTTTGGCTTGACAGATGAGCTTGCACCTGTCCTTTGGGGAAACGCCAGCATACTTGGGCGTCCACTCCACGGCAGGCCCGCTCCCAAAGGAAGCTTTTGAAAAGTCATTGTGCGCCTCACACTGTTCCTCTCTGAAGGTTTTTCCTGCAAAGACAGTGACAGGATGACGTTGCCAGTTTCCAACCTTTAACCGCCTGTTTGTGGGCACTTCATTTTCCCCTGTTTCTCAATGTTGGAGTCCACGTCTACTCACCGTTATTATCCGGACAGTCCTCAATGTTGCAGGACCGGTAGCGCACTCTCTTGCCTTCACAGTACCTCCCTCCATTCTTTGGGATGGGGTTGTCACACTCCCTCATTGTATACTGCACTCCTCCACCACACGTCCTCGAACAGTCTCCCCAGGGCCCCCAGGGCCCCCAGCTTCCGTTAACAGGGGTCTAAATGGGAACACGAATCGCCAGCATTAGAATTCTATAAAAGGATCCTTTTAGGGAACGAACAAACAAAAAAACACCAGACACAGGATCAATTACAGAAATTCTCGCTTGCATTCCTGCCGCGGGACACAGATTGGGGTGCTCAACTTGGTACCAGGTATTATAGCATCATTATGGAGCACAGCTCTACTCTTGAAATACATGGGGTAGCCAAGAGTTGGAATCAACTCAGTGACAATTTTTTTTTTTCCTTCCTCTTAAGGCGTTGTTCTTCTCAATTCCAGCATTTAAAGGAGCACGACTATGTGTCCGTAGAGAAACTCACATCAAAATGCTCCCTGTCGGTCTTGTTCACGCACTTGCCGCCAACACACCACTTCGCGTCACCACAGCTGGTCCCATCTGCCCAAGGGAAGTGTTTGGTTTGGCACACCAGCAGCCCACCGGAGATGCCCGTGCACCACAGGGTTGTGCATGTGCTGGCTGCATCGGGGCAGTGCCTGGATTCCTCCCCAAACGTGAACTGGCACTGCTGGGTGGCATTGTACAAGGTCCCCGGAAAATCGGAGGGCAGCTGTATGGGACTCTGGGGCTTGTCCATCAAACATTCCCCTGCAAAGAAAATGCCAGCCAGCCGTGAATACATAAGTAATGAAAGCACGCAGGTGGGAGATCACATTTTCAGAGAGTACACATCAAGTGAGATAATATAAAGCAAAGAGAGTTGAAAACTATGGAGCTTTTGAGCACAAGGCTGGACAAATTGAAAATTTTAAAAAAGATCATATCATGAATGGGGATTTTCTCTGTTAATGATGGCATGAAAGTACTGTTCTGCTAAAAATTTGAATTAATTTATTTTGGGAGCTATTCAGTCCGAAGCACCATATTTTACTGGGATTAAGGTCTAAAAATTGATGGTCTTGGAAGTGAAGATTAATTCTGAAGGAGGTAAAATAATATAAAAAGAATAAGAAAGGGAAAAAAAAGCTCGTTTCACTAGAAGGCTATACGTGGAAGCTGGGATGTCATCTAGAAAGAGCACCTTCTGCGTCTTACCGTGACCGTTATCCAGAAACGATGTAATCATGTAGGCGCTGCAAGGAGACCAAGGCTGGCTGCGGTTCAGGTTGGAGAGCATTGACGCCATCATGTGGGAATCGTGGTGCACGCCGTTAATGCTGGCACACTGCTTTGCATCATCGTGAGGCATGTTAAACACGTGGCCTGGGAAGCAATCCAAACTCATGTTAAAATATAGGTCATTCCCAGCACTTTTTTCCCCAACAGGGATTCATGTGTCTTAAAGCGATAGTACTAGAAGACCTTTAGTTTTGGAGACAACGCCTGTCTTCACAGGGTGTAAAGAAACGTGTAAGTTTCCAAATGTCCATTAAAAAAACAACCACCCAAACCCATTGTCATCGAGTGGATCCTGACTCATAGCAACCCTGTAGAACAGAGGAAAACTGCCCCATAGGGTTTCCAAGGCTGTGAATCTTTACAGAAGCCAACTACCACATCTTTCTCCTGTGAAGCGGCTGGTGGATTCAAACTGCCGACCTTTCAGTTGGCAGCCGAGTGCTTAACTATTGCACCACCAGAGCTCCTCCAAATGTCCATAGCTCCTACTATTTTTTATTATAATAAGATGGCATTTTTTTTAATTGTGTAAAAAATATTTTCTACAGTTTCTAAGAAGCCTTGTCACCTAATACAGTCAGCTTATCACCTGCAGACTCTCTCTTAAATTAATATATTTATTGGTTTGAATTCATTAATGGGGCTTAGCTCTTACTGTAACATGAACTTACCTAATTCATGGGCTGTGGTGAAGGCAGCTTGTAAACCATCATCTTCTATGACTGAGCAGCTTCTGCTGGCATCACACATAGTCCCAACATCAGCCATTCCCAGAGTGTCACACGTAAGGGAGCCACATAGGTCCTAGGAGGGACAAAGATGCAACCTTATTAATAGGGATAAAGCATGAGCCTTGGGGTCTAACTGTTTGACAGGGGGTGACTTCACATATGTTTCGGAGCAGCTACGTTCATTGTTGTTGACCGGTCCTTTAGGAGGACTTTGCAGAACTTACAGAGATACAACTTAAATGCAAAAACATTGGTGACAATTCTTTCTATATGTTACAAAGCAGACTCCTTAGATGGTTCTATCATAAGCGGGACCCTCTTCCTGCGCACCTGTCTGGTGAAAAGAATCGCCGTGTCATAGTGCCCGGGATCCCGGTCACTGGGTGGGTTGTGCTGCTTTTGCCAATTGCAGAAGCTCCGAAGCGTAAGAGCAGCATTAGAGGTCACTTCTGGCCCCTTCTGTTCCTCATAGATGACCAGGATCTTCACCACCACCAGGCTAACTGAATTCCGAATGCTGGGGTGTTTGTACAACCGGGAGGCCACGGAGAACAAGGTGAGAAGGTAGTGCTTCAGGCCACTACCGTGGAACTCGGCCATTGACTGGTCGGCCACAAGCATGGTCTCCACATAGCGGGGACTGGACACAAAACGCTTCTTTCTTATGCTTCCAGTTCCTGCAAGAAAATAAGCAAGGTCGCTCGCTCAGGGCAGTCTATCCAAGAAGAGTTACCTTCGCAGAGTATATAAAAAAAGCCTAACCAGTCAAAGCAAATAAACAAAATAAAAATACACCTGGAACAACGATAACAAAAATATTTGCATCTCTTTTGCCTTGAAAATGTGATTTTTTAAAAAGCTTTCTCCTTTACTTTAAATAAAGAGGTCTGGTGCTCCTCTGAGTGGCCAGGCTGTATTTCTGGGGAGCGGGGTGTTGGCCCTCTTTGAAATCCTTCCATCTGAACAAGGCGGTGTGCATACTACCCTTCCCAGCTGTAGGAAAAACTTGGAGCAAAGGCAGCCGGCAGAGCGCCCTGAGTCACTTTTTCGAAGGCCACGACTCAAATCCTGAATGAGATCATCGGGCTCCACGTGGAAGGCCCTGGGCAGGGCTGGGGCCGCTGCCAAGGTGGGGGGCCTGAAGGCATCTGCTCTGCGCTCTTGTTCCAGGGGTCCCTGGGGTGTGTGCTCCTACCAGCTCCGGGCACAAGGACCACCCACTCAGCCCAGCAGCCTATTGCCTAACTCCTACGGCCCCAGGGAAATAAGTTCCTGCCTGGGCGTAGTTGCTTATCTGAAAGAGAGCCCTAGGACTCCGGATGGAGACCCAGCGGGAAGTTCTAAACCGGGCTGTGAGCAAATAACTGCTTCGGGGAGCAGATCTGCAGGGGGAAAAGAGGGAGAATTCTAAAACAAGACCCGTGAGAAAGTGAAAAGAGAAAAAGACACTAAAGTGATAGAACGAAAACACCCGGGCAGTAAGCACCGCACAGAACACAGCCTGGTAACGCGTAGCAGGAAGAATCAGCGAGGATCTACCTTCCGCAGCTCAGGAGAGCAGAATTATGGCCGCGAGAGGGAGCGCAAACTGGGAGGCGGGGCAAGCTGGGCGAAGACCTCCCAAGCAGGTTCTGCGGAGGGCCCCGCGCCGCCAGTGGGTGTCAGCCTCTTAAGGGGGGTTGGAGGGCGGGGGGCAGAGGCCGGCAGAGCAGTGATCACAAAGCAGCTGCCCAGGCCCGCGGGCTGCACATTCCGGGGTCACCATCGCTCCCCCGCCCTCTCCAACTCCGCCCTCCTCTGGACGCAGGGTGAGAGCCCAGGCAGCGGTTACAAAACGCTGCGCAAAGTTGCAACCAAACCAAAGAGCACACACAAAAGCGTTAAAAAGAAATGAACGGGGATGGAAAGAAGTCCCTCGCTCACACTCGACTAACGCACTCCGTTAAGGTGGAAAGAGTGGGTTACTAATTCCCTCAGGTCGAAACGTTTCACCCTAGTCGGCAGAAAAGCGTGCATGTCCTGTCCTCCCTTGATCATTCATTATTCGGGCAAATGGAATTACGTTTTCTAGCAGGATTTGATGAACTCACTCTTGAGTTCACTAACTTGAAAGTCAAACCACATTTCTGCACTCCAGATCTCCGTCCTGTCCGCAGACACATACTCACGCCAGCGAACAGGAGTCAACCCACAAGCTGCTTCGGATGGAGAAAGTCGAGAGAGGGATAAATGGAAAGACAAGTGAGAAAAACTTCTCCGGCTGGTACCTGATGACTGTGCGGCGCGCTGCGGCCACTGAGCCCCGGCGTCCTCTCCCTCGGGCCCCACGCCTCTCGGGGGCAAGGTTTCGTCGTCCACGGCCCCGCACTTGGCGCCGCCGCCACCGCCCCGCCGCCTCCGCCGCAGGAGATGGAACTGCGGCCGCTGCGACGGCTCCTCCCCGGCAGCCACGGGGGCGAGGCGCACGGTGGGGGCTGCGGGTGCAGGCTGGATGAAGAACTCCTCGCCCTGCAGGTAGAAGGCGCCGCGCACGCCCTCGCAGAGGCTGAGGGCGGCGGCGGAGCCGGGGTCGCCGTTCACCGTGCCGGAGTAGAAGCAGTGCGCCAGGTCGCCTACGGGCTCCGAGTGCAGCACCTCGGGCCCAGGTATGCGCCCCACTGTCTGGAGTGTGAAGCCAGGCGCCAGGAAGCCGCGGTCCGGCTGCAGCTCCAAGCGCAGCGGCCGACCAAAGGCATCCAGGCTAAGGCGCGTGGTTTCGTGTTCCGCGGCGTGCTCCAGCACCGGCAGCACCAACTCCTCGTCCTTCTCGGCGGGGCGCCCGAGCGCGCCCGGCAGGGCCAGCAGCGCTGCAGCCGCTGCGAGGAACAGCAGCATGGGTGCAGGCTGCGAGCTCCGGGGCCGCCGCGCCGGCTCCGCGTTCCCCATGTCGCCGCCTGGCGCGCGCCTTCGGAACCCCGCGTGGGCCGCTCTCTGAATTCGAGCCCCGGGACACACGGCGCGCTGCAGCTCACCGAGTGAGGGGGCTATTGTTCGGGACGGGAGCGCAAAACCTCGTTGGCTTCGCTTGGATCGTTAAAGTTAACAATTACTATTATTCTTTGAAATTGCGCGCGGAGCCGGCTGCAGCCGGGGCTCCTGGAGTCACTCGGGAGGAGGCGCTGCAGCTCTGCTGGCGCGCGGGAAGTTTTTCTTCCAGCGAAGAGATGGAGGCACCGTGCGGTGGGCGCTGAGGGAGATCGGTGCCTGGCGCCGCTCTCCGGCCTCTGCCTTTGCCGCGGTGGGCTCACTCTGCAGGGCTCTGCCCTCTCAGCCCTGCTGCGTGCTCCGGCTTTGCAGTCACCGCGGACTCAAAGCCGCTTTCCAGCGAGTGCAAGAAACAGGCAGCCCGGGCTGTCCTTATATAGCCGGGAATGCGTTTCCTCCCTCCCCCTCCCTTCCTCGTCCCTCTTGGCCGCCGCTCCATCCCCGAAGACACCGCCCCCTGAGCTCAGTCTGTGCTAAACCGCGCTCAGCGCCGCGGGCCCGGGCGGGGGAGGGGGGGCCTCGACGCTGGCTTTGCGCCACGGGCTCTGCAATCTGGGGGCGGAACTCGCAGGAGGGGCGAGCGGGCTGCCCTTTGTACGGCTGGGGCTCCTAGGGGGAGAAGGGTTGGCCTTCCACTGCGCCCTGCCCGCCACCGACTCCCGGGACCACCCTCCTTTCCCACCGCTCCCCTAGTGCGAGTCGACCCTTCAAGCGCCCGGCAGCTCTTCCCAGGCGGGAAGGTCGGGGTGGAGACCCGAGTCCCTTCTCCAAGATTTCCATGCTCGGAGAGCTGTCCCTGCGCGCCCCCACAGCACCCTCCTTTCCAATCTAGGAGAGGTGCCAGGGCTGCCTTTTCTAGAAAAGTATTCCACCCCATCTCCATCCCCACCCGCTGGCCAACAGCGTGCACTCCCTTCGCCCCAGCTTTTCTCGGGGAAAGCTTGCTTGGCCCGTGCCTCCCCTAGAAAGCATGCTTGGGTGGGAGGACGTAGAGCGCTTCCTAAGGCTCTTGATTTGAAAATGCGCTTGCTTTGACCCCACCCCCACGGCCTCGCGGCCTCCGAGACTTCTCTGCAGGGATCCGGGTTCACATTTCCGGAATAGGTGATCTGGAACTCGGTTCTTTTCCCTAGAGCCTAAGGAGGGAGTTGCGCTTTCTCTTCATTCGAGAACTATCAACTCCCGCCCATCTCAGGCTCTCGCATCTAACAGCAATCACCGGGCGTAGGCCAGACTGGCAGAAATGTCAAGGCACCCCACTTTTCACCCAGGGGCTCAGCGGCGATCGTTGGGGCTAGAGTGTGCAGTACGGGAAATTAGGAAGCCGGCTTCCTTCCCCGACCCCCCATCCCCCTTACGAAAGTGAAAAAAGCTCAGCCTTCCCACCTCCTGGCCCCTAAGAAAAAGCTGAGCAGCTCATCGCGAAAAGAGGGAGGAGGGGCTCGATGACACAAGAGGAAGGAAATGTTTCACAATGCTTTCTCAGGCGGAAAGCCACAGGGACAATGGTGAGAACGGCTGCCCAAATCTAGGGACAGACCCGTGTCCCTTGCGCTCGCTCACTCCCACTTCCTCGTCCTAGCGGGTCTCCTGCCCCGCCGCCCCCCACCCACCTCCTCAGTTTTCAGCAAGTTTTATCTGGGCCCTTTCTTCACTCCTCCCCAGAGCTTCCCAACGTCAGTCTGTCCTAGCCAGGAGGGTCCCTTTGAATCCTTCCCTCAAAGCTTCGCTCTTTGAACTTTTCTTTCAGGATACTTTACCAACTTCCTCTTTTCTCTAGTTCTAGATTGCCTCCTTGAAAAAGAAAAACTTTGCTTTCTGCTTTTTAGGAAAGATCAAATGAGAAAGAACGTCACAGGAAGCCAAAGGACACACTTAGAAATGGCCACTTAAATCTAATTGTGGCTTCCTAAGGTCACTGTCGCTGTTGAAAGCTGAGTGATCAGCTCAGATATTAGATGTCTTTTTCACAACAGCCTTTGGCATAATGTGTCCTTCTGGTATATGTAAGGGTCACCATGACTCCAAGCACCTCCTGTGCAGCTAACAACCTTACCAGTTTCTCGCTCATCCTTGGTTTTTCTGCTTCCTGCCACCTGACTAACATTTTGGTACTGTCACCCAGTCACTCCTTTGCAGCCACTTCTCACCTCATTGTTTCTCCTTCAAATTTAATATGGACGTGACACTTACGAGTGACCCCGTTCATTCCTTTGTTGTCCAGCCTAACTCCCTCTGGTCGTCTTTGAATGAGAGGCTATGCTTCTTTGTGCTGCCCAAGTCTCTGTCCCTCAATCCCCCTCTCCACTGTGGTTCCCAGATGGTCTTCACATTCCCCTCTCCTGGTACAGTAACTCCTTAATTTTTATTTCTCACATTTTCATTTCATTTCACTTGTTCTTTCTTTCTAGTCAGAGGAAAGGTTAGGCCCTTGGAAGAACATTTGACGAAAGTCATCGCAGGCTTGTGAGATTTTGACCACGGAATCATGAAACCTCCGTGGCAAACCAGAGGCAAGTTTGCAAACCTCTGGTTTAAAGAGGATTCTGAAAACAATGTATGATGATTAGCTCTCGGGACTCAGACTGGCAGTGACATGGACACTTCAGGTGCTTCAGATGGCCCAGAATCTGGAGACTTACACAAGTGAGGGTCAGTGAGAGTCCTTTCAGTTGGAAGAAAGGAAATTCAAAAGACCATCAGAAAGTTGATAACTTTCTAAAAAGTCATGCAGTACATCCCAATTTGCCAATGCCTCTACATCAATTTTGTCATTTCAGATCCATCGATGCAAGCTTTGCCTTTGGTCCCTATCTGCCTCAACTTTATCCTTACTGGAAGTTTGTTTAATTCAAGGCATTCCTTGCTCATTTGGAATGAGTTACTTCAAACCTATTGTAATTTTTACGTATTTCATGTTGGATATCCAAATAGAGCTGAAATAAAAAAAGAGAGAGTTAAAGGCAAAAGAGTGGGCAGGAACATGACTTTTTTATTCACTGGGTTTCTCTCCAGATTTCTGTTCTTTTGCATAATGACTCCAATCTGTTGTGCACCTGTAGTTCTGGGAAATGATTCTTTTTTAATCGCTTCAGCAGAGACATGGATGTAGGAGCTGCCAATGATTAAGCTGGAAGACTCCATCATGCTCAGAAGTACACTTCAGCCACTTACTTTTTATTTATTTCTTTTTTTGAAGACTGGGTCTGTTCACTGTTTTGTTGTTAAGCAAATATATGCATGTAGCATATATGTTTGTTTGTAAACGAGATTGTGGATTTGAAAGAAAACAAAATGGAGAAACCAGACCAAAGGGCACAATTTGTCTGTACGGTAGTCAAAGTGACAACTGACACCAGATCCTTGTAAGTCAATTTCACACTCCCACTCGTATAAAATGTTTGCTTTTTGGTTTAAACATGCATCCAAAAGATCAATCATATGCTGTCTTAACCCCGGCTGTATTTCTGGCTTTCTTTTTATAGAATACACATGTGCTTATATAAAAATAAATCTTGACATATCCTAATTTGTAGACTTGAAACAATCTTTGTTAGTTGTAGAAATGACGTAACAAAAGTAAAACAATTGATAAAAATATGTTCTCACAATTAACAGTCTGACTTTTTAAAAAGCATTTTTATTCCCAATTAACAGAGGGACCCCGAGAAATGAAAATATCTTGTGCTGTTTTTTTAAAAAATAAAATGAACAAACATTAAAGTGTCAATTTTTATTTATACTTTAAATGCTAGTTTTTGTTTCATTTATTCACATATTACAGTCACAGTACTCTTTATAATTCTCAAGAGGTCTAGCCCTGTGGAATAAGGGAATCTGATAATATACACGAGCTATTAGCCTTGTTTTAGTGGAAACATTGTCTACAGAAATTACTAATGCATGTATTTCATAACCGCTTCAATGTTGTTTGTTTGTATTTCCCTACCATAGGACTTACGCATTAGAAATGGAAAGCTGTTGAGCATAGTGTTCCTTTAGGGAACCTATGGTCTAAAGTAATATTGGACAAATGGATACTGTAGCTTGATCGTAAGTGAGAAAATAGTTAGAAAACATCTGGGTATATACCCAGAAATATAGCAAATACTTGAAGACCAAAAAATTATTGCATTTTGGATTTAAAACAGCTATGGCTTCCTGGTGGCACAGTGATTAAGAGCCACGGCTGCTAACCAAAAGTCAGCAGTTCGAATCCACCAGCCTCTGCTTGGAAACCCTATGAGACAGTTCTACTCTGTCCTATCAGGTCGCTATGAGTCAGAATCAACTTGATGGCAGTGGGTTTGGTTTTTTGGGTTTATGGCTTCAAAATCATGCATTTGCAGAATTGAGAATATCATCAGTCTAATCCATGCTCCTTGTTTGACAGACATGGAATTGAGCCTCAAAGAGGTGCCTCGCCCCACATGTCATAGTCAAACTGGAAGAGAAATGAATCTGACTCTACAAGTTTAAACCAAATAATCTTGGCATTTCAACATATCTGATTGTTTGATAAGTAAGTATGTTGCCAGACTGGCTGGTAACATTGTTTCCAATTATTTAATTTCATTTTTATTCTAAATAGGACATTTCTGGCAATGTAAAATTTCCACCTTAAGAGGTTCGCAGCCTTTAGTAACGCTTTCTCCATCCACAAGGTGGCGACAGTTCACAACAAATGATGTACAACTCGCCTTTCTAATTCAGGTCAGGAATTTGCAACCATTTAATATCTTTTCAATCATATTTAATAATTTGGTACTAAATTTTCTCCTACATTTTGGGATTATGGAAAATATTTTTTAACATTGCAACTTTAAGTGTATTTGTGTTCTTAAAAGAATAATAAACATGCTTTAGCCAACTACCTGTTAATCACGCAGCTTGATTAGCTTAAACCAAAAATCAGT